TATCTACATATAAATTTTTTTACAAATCAAATTGATACAAAAACACGGGATTATTTATTTGACTAATCAAATTTATTGTCGCGGATCATAATAAAATCGGATTAAAATGAAATTTAGAGTTTCTATTTAACCTTCTAAAACCCACTTATACTTGTCTACTATAAATTCTACCCAGCGTCACACTACGCAAAATTACGGTAATTTTACAACCCAAGTAGGGATGGCAGAAAAATGATTTTTATTGATTTAAATCAGGCGAAGTTTATGATTTGAATATTATTCTGCCATCCCTAAACCCAAGGTTATAGTTTTTTTTTAACGTTCTGTAAAATTTTTTTTTTCGAAGATCCCGTTATTTCACCATATTATAAAATTTGAATTTCTGATAATTAAAAATATCGGAGATATCAGATTTTATAGATTTATATCGGATTTTTGTCTTGATTTGAATTTTTATTTCGGATCACCTTATAAATCCGAAATATTTCGGCAACGAAAAAAATTTCACCCGCAACATTAGTTTTTTTTATTAGATTTAAAACTAATAATAACACCGCCTATATTAAAGATTATATTTCACAAAACTCATTATAGTTGTACGATGTTATGTTGTTATAATTGAATCAATTTATTAAAACATTTGGATGAAACAAATTGGAAAAATACATTTTTTTTCAAATCAAAATAGTTTTTGTATTAAAAAATCAATTAATGCTTCTCTAGTCTCAGTATAAAGTTGATTATTTATAAGATTTAATTGTTTTAAAATCTTATTTTTTCTGTATGCCTCTATAAATGGCATTACTCCAATAGTGCCAAGACGATTGGTTGAAAGGTTTAAAAAATTAATGTGTAATCTTTGTAAGTGTATTTGCTAATGCTTCTCCCTCAGAACCAATTTTGTTGTGGGAAAGATCTAGAGTTACCAAAGTGTCATTGATGTAAAGACCCCTTGCTAATATCCTCAGAGTCAAGATTATTACGGTGAATGTATAGTGAAGTTAATAAACTGTATGTACCAACAGCCTTTAATAATGTTTTTTTTTCTTGAATCTGAAATTTATTAGGTGACAGATTCAAAACAAAAAGCCCTTGCTAATTATTTTAAACCATCATGATTTCCTGAAAGGTCTAGCGATGTGATTGTCTTGTTTTTGTGAAGGGCATTTGCAAAATAATTGGCTCCTCTATTGTCGGTTCTACTGGTTTATTAAAATCGTCGGTTCTATCAGAATCGTCGGTTTTATTGGATAACAAATCATTGCTTTCTTCACCAATATTTAAAAGTACCAAAAGTGTTTTATGCAATGTTTTAGACGAAACCTAGAGGTTTCATCACAGGTGGAAGACGAAACGAAGTTTTTTATTAAAAAATATTTGAAAAAACGAAAATACGAAAGGTGACAAAACGGACGAAAAAAGCTGATGAAAGCGACGAAATGATGAGAGCATGACTGAAATTCTACTTATGCGCAATGTTACACAAACATTTTATATGTAATTTAGATATAGATCGATATGAAGGGGGTTATCTGAAAAATATATTAAAACTTA